GAGGAGGAGGAAGAGGAGGAGGCCAGAGGCTTTCTTGGGACAGCCTGTGGCTCTCCTGAGGCCGTCTTGGGCCGTCCAGGGCTCCTCTGGCGCCGTCTCGAGGCACTCTTGGAGGCCTCCTGGGCAATTTGGGGCTCTCCTGGGCTGTCTTGGGGCAGTTTGGGGGCCCCTTGGGAGCATCTTGGGGCCTCTTGGGGCTTCTTCGGGGCCTCTTGGAAGCCTCTTGGGGCTGAGAGCGTCCGTTCGGATCCCCTGTCTGGGCACTCTCCTAGAGCCGTCTTGGGGGCCTCTTGGAGGCGTCTTGGGCCGTCTTGGGGCCCTCTTCGACCGTTAGGGGACCTCTTGGGGGCCTCTTGGGCCGTCTCGGGGCGATCTTGGGGGCCTCTTGGGCCGTCTTGGCGCGGCGGGAAGCTGAAGAGGCAAATCTGTCAAAAACGTATCGGAAATCCACAAGTTTTGCCTCTCGGGGCTCTTGTGGGAGAGCTCCTGGAGGCCTCTTAGGGGCGCTCTGCAGGCCTCTTGGGCTGTGTGTTGTTCTATTCTCTGGGGGGGGGACCTGCGCCCAATCTACTTGATCCGCCTTCCTACTTCATGTTTTGACCTACTTCTTCCGACCGACGCGTATGTTTCGAAAAACGAGTTTCGCCCGCCACTGCGGCGGCAATCTTCTCGTCAATTCGTAGGTGCCGCGCCCCGGACTTACTAGTCCGCTCCCTGTCCGCCGCCTCGGAGCCCCCACCCACAAAAAAAAATGCTTCGAAAAGCCCCCCACCAAAAGAACCCCTGCGGCTAAAAGGCCTATGTTTTGAAAAGGCCTATGCGCCACTGCGGCTAATTATCTTCGTTCAGCGCCCCGAGCGTTGCCCCGCTTCTTGACATTAGTCCTGGAGCCGCCGACCAAAAAAAAGGTATGCTTCGAAAAGCCCCCCACCAAAAGAACCCCCGCCTCGCCGACGCCGCCCCCGGAGAGAGCCGCGGAGCACCGCGTACCGCGGCACGCTCGGCCGCACCCAAGGGGCGCCGCAGAGCTGCCCGCCCAGCGGCGCCCGGGGCAGGCGAGGTCCCCCCTTTCGCCGAGCGCGCTCCGCTCCTCGCAGAGCGCCTGCTCGCACATGCCACCTCCTCCTCCCCCTCCTCCTCCCCCTCCTCCTCCCCCTCCTCCTCCACCTCCCCCTCCTCCCCCTCCTCCTCCTCATCCTCCTCCCCCTCCTCCTCCCCCTCCTCCCCCTCCCTAACCCTCCTCCTCCTCCCCCTCTCCTCCTCCTCCTCCTCCTCCTTCCTCCTCCTCCTCCCCCTCCTCCTCCTCCTCCCCCTCCTCCTCCTCCCTCCTCCCTCCTCCCTCCTCTCAAGCAACTTGGGCTCGAGCACCATTTTGGCAGCTCTCAGCCCAACCTCGCGCCTCCACGTGGTGCTTGGGGGGCAGTCCACTTGCCGCTCGCCCTTTGGGCGGACAGTTGGGCTGGCGAAAGCGAGGCGGCGCTTGTGTGATTCGCGCAGCAGGCAATGTCCAGAGCGTGGAGCACATGTGCGTCATGTGGCACTCAGGAGTTCAACGATAAGCTCCAGAAGAACTCGGGGAAGTGCTACAAGTGTCACAAACCAGTCAAGCTGTACGTGCCGAAGCCCAAGAGTGGTGGAGGTCCACAGCAGCAGCCAGATCTGCAGAACAAGGGGAAGGGCGCTGAGAAGGACGTCACGGGCACTATCCAGGCGCTCGTCGCGGCCATGGGGCGCCTCAAGGACCCCACCAGCAGGCAGATCTTGGCCGACCAGATCGCGGAGGCCGAGAAAGCGGCAGCGGCGCCCGCTGCTGCTTCGGTATCCGCGGCCGAGGCTGTCCGCCGCGCCGAGGGGGCGTGGAAGGACGCATCGGTGAAGCACTCTCAGGCAGCCGCACAGGTTGCCAAGATTCAGGAGAACCTCAAGAAGGCGATCGCCAAAGAGGAAGAGACAGCTCGCGCTTTGGCGCTGGCTGAGATCAACAAACGCACGGCAGCGGTGGCTCTCGCTCACGAGGTGGGGGTTGTCACGGGTGCGGTTACCAACGACGGCAGTGGTCAGGCGCCAGCCCCGCCACCCATGATGAACGTCACCTGGGACGAAGAGTTTTTCAAGCAGCTCGACTCCATGGAGGAGCTCTCCGAGCAGGAGCGCCTGGAGCTGAGGAACGTGGAGAAAGAGCTGCAGCAGGTTCGTGACAGCGTCTTCGGCAAGGCGGAGCAGGTCAGCAAATGGCGGGCCGAAGTCTTGGCGATGCGCGAGAAGGTAAAGGATAGGCAGCGGAAGAAGCGCAAGGCGAACACCGACGCGGCGACGGAGGTGACCGCCACTGCAGCAGGCGGCACAAGCGCTGGGGCGGCTGCTGGAGCAGAGGCCCCTGAGGTGTCGGCGGCAGATGCGCCCATGGACGGCGACAGCGGCGAGGCGGTTCCCCCGATGGGGCAGGCGGCCAGCCGCCCTGCAGCGCCGACGGCCACCGGGCCGACGGCGGCGGCGACGGCAGCAGCAGGCGCCGCGCCCGCAGGAGGCGTGCCAGGCCAGCCGCCCACGGAGGAGGCCATCCAGGCGGAGATGGCTCGCATCCGCGCTGCGCAGTCCCTCGGGGAGCGCGCGGCGCAGGACGCCGCTGGCAAGTGAGGTCAGGCGGCGGCGGTCCGCCCCGTGGAGGCGATCGCCACCCAGCCGCCTGGCCCACCGAGTGCAGCCCCTTCGACGTCTACCATTTCGGAGGAGGCCAGCTGAAAAATGTTTTTCAGTAACGTCACCTGCTTGGGGCCGAAGGCCTGGTCTTATTTGAAGTCGGATGAGATCCTCAGCAGATACTCTTTCCTTGGCATCGTAGAGAGCCACGTCTGCAAGCGCACTCGCGCGAAGTGGGCACGTCGGGCCAGGGCTCACAAGCTGAAGTTTCTGGACAATCCTGCACGTGGCACGGGGAGATCGACCTCGACGGCGACGATGGGGCGCGCCAGCGAGGGCGGGGAGATCTTCCTGGCACAAGGGCACAGGAACGTTCATCGTGTTTTTGATCGGCCACGAGATACGGGCAGCTGCTACTGCGCTGAGGGCTCAGACGCTCTCGACGGCTTCATGCCGACGCTAGTGCACATGTGCGGATTCTCGTTGTTGATAGTACTGTTCTATGCGCATCCGTCAGTACAGTTTGCGGGTGAAAATGCTCAGAGATTTTCGAAGCTAGGTGCTTTCCTTCGGTCCGTGAAGTTGCCATGGTTGGTAGTAGGTGATTATAACATAGACGTGAATGTTGTTGCTCGCCGTGATTTCTGTAAGCGTGTAGGCGGAGTGATCCGCAGGGCCAATGTCGAGCATACCTGCATAGGGGGTTCAGGCAATTCGCACATTGATTTTGTCATGGCTTCAGAATGTTGCGTTCCTTACATCAAGAGCGTTAGTGCAGTTGTTGACACACCATGGGCACCACATATCGGTCTTGAAGTGAAGTTGCGAGGGGCTGGCGAGCAGCTCATCTCTCGTACCCTAGAAGTTGCAGCGCGTTTGCCTCAGGTTGTCCGTCCGTCTACCGCAGCAGCCGCGGGGTCCAAGTCCAGTGCTAAGCGTCTCGAGTATCAGCTTGCTGTAGAGAAAAAAACGTGAGCGCATTCGCACAGACTGTGACGATTTGCACGGTGAGGCCTTGTATAGTGAGCCACGCCCCGTCCAGGCTACTGGTGCTCTCGACCCCTCCGCCGCGGTTTCGTCCGAGGTCGTTGACGGCTTGGGCCCAGAACCAGTTTGTCCCGATTTTGATCTTTTTGAGTTTGGCCCCGAGGAGGAAGACCCTTGGGCCGACGAACCCTGTTTCATTCCTGCAGGGGCAGAAACTGTCGCGCGGGGGGTAGGTGAGGAGTTAGGTCTCCCTGGAGGGGCGGGGTCTGGCGTTGTCGAGGGCACAAGTCAGTCCGCCAACCAAGCTGAGCGCCCCAGGAACGTCGACCCCCTGGAGGGGGAAGCTAGCAGTCTCGCCCCCGCTGGTGCTGCTGCTTCTCCTGCTCCCCTCCCGTCTTTCTCCATCCCTTCTTCGTCGTGGGTAGATGCTTCGGTCCAAACACCTTGGCACGTCCACACTACTCACGAAGTTTGGCCCCCTGCATTTCAATCCGTGGCTTTCGAAGTTGGAGGCCCACACATTCTTCATGCTAGCAATGCCTTCGCTCGCTGGGTCGAGACTGCTGAGCGGGCGATCTTGGGGCATCACGATCTTGGCGTGTGCGCTCGCTCGCGCAGCGCAGGATGTAGCCTCAAGGTCACGGCCGTCAAGCAGGCCGAACACATCCGTCAGCAGCCTTTGAAGGACGGCATCTCGTCCTGGTGGGCGCGAGTACACAACGTGGTGCAGAGGGCCCTCAGGCATCGGCGACGTCAGAACGGAGTGCTTCAACTGACGCAGCTGGCTGCAGCAGGAGTTCGTCTGGCAGACCAACCTCTGGACGGTGCAGGAGCAGCTTTTCCTGCGGACGCTGGCAGCTGGGAACAATTTCTAAGTTATCTTCGGAGGTTGGTTGACTTGGACGTCGAGTTGCTGGCACAGCTGGAGGAACAAGCTTATCGTGCGTCCAAGAGGGCACACAACAAAGCAGCCTCAGCATCGCTGCGTGAATTTCAACAATGGTTTTCTTCACTGAATACACAAGGAGTGGCCCATAAGAGTATCAAGGATCCAGATCGTGAACGAGACGAACTGCATGATGCCGCAGATGTTGGAGTTCTCGTTCACCCCAAGGACATCGTGGATCGCAAAGCGGAGGCGTATCATTCTAAATGGGAGTCTTCGGTGGCCACTCGTGATTCTATCGTTCGTACGTGTGCTGTGGTTCGTGGTCAGGCGGAGATCGAGCAGCCCCCTCCTCTCTCAGTCAGTGATGTACGAGCGGTTTTATCTCGAATGAAGCCGAGGGCTGGCCTCGGCATTGATCGCTTATCGCCTGTCAACTTTCAACGTTTACCTGATGACGGGATCCAGGCTCTGTGCGATTTGTTCTTGCTCATAGAACAGGGATTGTCTTGGCCCTGGCAAAGTCTTTGTATTGTGGGCAAATTGTTGGGCAACAAATCAGGCGGCGATCGAGTCATTGGCTTGATCGCGATGCTGGCCAGAGTCTGGTCCATGGCACGCGAGGTGGAGATGAAGGAGTGGTCCATTGAGCAGGCTGAAGTGGATCACTGGGACGCGGCTGTCGCAGGAAACAGTGCTCTGCGAGAAGCACTCGTGCGGGCGCTGGAGGATGAGGTCCACGCGCGGCTGCAGATTCCGAGCGGCCACACGCTGTGGGATCCCGCGTCCTTCTACGACTCCATAGAATTCGAGCCCCTCGCAGAGTGTGCTCTGGAAAAAGGTTTTCCGCCAGTTATATTATTCTTAGAACTACAGCTGTGTCTGGCACCTCGCATGTTGGAACAACTCAATTGTTTTTCAGAACCGTTCGAGGTGACGCGCTCGGTGGTTCAGGGCTTGCGGAACGGCACGAGGTTCGCCAAATGCATCACGGCGAACACTTGTCGGCGACTCTGCAATTCCTTCGGATCACTTCGGCAACGCATCTGGATTGATGATTTGTCGCAAAGGGTGCCAGGGTCACGTGCTCATGTCAGGACGACCTTGATCAGAGGTGGCATTCAGACCGCCAAGGAGTTCCAGAGGCTCCATCTGGGCCTGGCGGACAAGAGCGTCATCACTTGTTCGCATCATGCCGATGCGATCGCGGTTGTGAGGGCTCTGAAGCGCAAGGGCATCCACTTGCGCGCAGCTCTCCAGACGGCATATCTTGGGGTCGACCTCAGCAGCGGCCGACGTCAAGGTCGAGCTACAGTACGGCAGCGGCAGCTGAAGTCGGGGCAGTCGCATGCTCGGCTACGGCGTTTCGCTCAAGCTGCTCGTCGCTGGCAAGCGTCTGGCAAACTTCAACGCGCTGGACCGCAAGCAGCAGCAGTTTACGGACATCAAGTCCACGGCCAATTTGGGTCGACGATGTTGGCTCAGCGTCGTCGGCTAGGAGCGGCGGCAGGATCGTCGAAGCGAGGGAGATGTTTGACGACTTTACTCTCGCTACGACTGCCTGGTTGTGACCCAGGCCATCTGCTGCCCAAGCAATGTAT